TTAATTTTATCGATAATAGGATTCTTGTAAAGAATTTGATTATTTGGGTTGTTAAACTTGATTAGGTTAAATCAAGTTTAAGTAAATTATGAGATTTTTTTGAAATGTAGAAATAAAGTTTTTATCTTATCATATGATTTATAAATGATAAAATTCATGTTTTTGATAAGTTAAAATTTCTGTAAGTTCAAAACCTGAAAACCTGTTATGTTTCTGCACAGTCGATCGCGGTGGACGTGGCGGTCGACGGCGGTGGACGCGGCGGTCGACAGCTGAGCGACGTTTTTGTACAAGAAGCTCTATGTTTTTGCGTGGTCGACTGTGATGGACGCAAAGGTCGACCGCTGGGCGATATTTTGTGCAATATCTTTCTTCTCATTTCACGGTCAACCACGGTGGTCGCGACAGTCTACAGCTGGACCAATTTGTGCATGTGCATGTTGTTTACATGTGTTTGTGTGACCGACGAGTTGTCTAGTTTATCTGGTATTTTAATACACTGTAAATTGTGTATTCTACATATGAGTTGATTATGGACATGAGTTTTGGATTCACTCACCGAGGCACAAGTGTGAATAGTATATATGTATTTTACTTACATTATTTATTTGTATTACGCTCATCATATGCAGTCCTTGTGTTGGACATTTATCTATTGCGGCCCATGTATTGGACCTTAATTATATGCAGTCATCGTGTTGGACATTTACCTATTACGGCCCATGTGTTGGACCTTAATCATATGCAGTCCTCGTGTTGGATATTTACCTATTGCGGCCTATGTGTTGGACCTTAATTATATATCGTCCTCGTATTGAAAATTTATCTATTGAAGTCTATGTGTTGGACATTCATCAAATATAGTACATGTGTTGGATACTTATTTGAGTTGTCTTATCTTATATGTAGCAGGTGAAGTCCATGTGTTATATAGTACATGTGTTGGATACTTATTTGAGTTGTCTTATCTTATATGTAGCAGGTGAAGTCCATGTGTTGGACACGTATCTGATATCTATCAGGACACCTTTGATATGGTTTGAGATGGAGTTGTCTTTTCTTATTGCTCCATGTAAAACCCCAAAATTTTGAATACTTTATGATAAATAATAATAAATATGTTATACATTTATAAATAATATATTATGATGTTTGAGTATGCTAGGAACTGATTTGAGATCAATTCAATGTATATATGTATATATGTGAGTACAAATACACGAATCATGCTCAAAGGCCAAGAGTGAGAATCTGGGAATTTTGACCAGTTGAGAGTTTCTATGTTTTTGTCACTGATTCATTAAGAATCTGGAAAAGTGTATAATACCAAAGTTGTAGGTCTCTTCAAGAGCTTTCCAAAAAAATCTTAGATCACCTTATTCCGAGGTCGTATGAGGAAGTTATAGCCAAAATACCGAAGAGAATGTTCCTAGTCAGACTGAATTTCCAGTTTCGGGTTTCGGGTTTCGGGTTTGCTGCTATATATATACATGTTATATCACGAAAATCACCTCTTTTCTTCTGTTTTACAAACCCTAGCAGCCCCCCCTCTTCTCTCCCAAACCCTAGATCCGTTCTTGGCGATTTTTGAGGAGTCTCGAAGGGTTTCAGCGGGATTTGGAGCGATTCTATCGAAGGAGGAGCATGCTCACGCGTGTTCAGGAGTTCTACAATACCCCCTCAGGCGAGTAACATCTCGCCCAATCCTCTCCCATGTTTTTACAAGTTTTAAAGGTTTAAATTCGTGTTTTACTGCTGCATAACATTTCCATAAAGATGGGTATTTGTTTTTAAAATTTTTGTTTCAGGTTTCGAGCTGACAGAAACCCAGATTTGGGTTTCTGTCTGCTCGGCGGTCGACCGGTGCGGTCGACCGCTTAGCTCATTTTGAGGCTTCAGTCGACCGCGACGTTATTTCGGTCGACCACGACATTTTTTCGGTCGACCGCGACGTTATTTCGGTCGACCACGATGTTCTTCCGGTCGACCGCCAGTTGCATATCAGAGTGCGGTCGACCGGTGCGGTCGACCGCCGTGTTATCTGTTGTATTTTCCCTATTTTGTACATTTTTGAATATTTGTTCAGGTTCGAGTGATTTCCTGGACTATCTGACATTGGTATTTGGTCTCACTTTGTACCCAGGCATGATAGAAGACCTGAGGGTACCAATTATGGATATATACACTGTTTTGACTGTGAATTGATATAGGTAGATTTCACTATGTATCCCAGTGATATGTTCACTGTTTCACAGTCCTCGTATTGGACTAAAATCCACGGTCTTCGTGTTGGACAAGCATTACCTACGGCCCTCGTGTTGGACACCCTTCCCACTTAGTCCTCGTGTTGGACATGCATTGCTTTTTAATCCTCGTGTTGGATATACATTACCATTCGGTCCATGCGTTGGACAACGGTCACATCCGGTCCAAGCGTTGGACAACGGTCACATCCGGTCCATGCGTTGGACAACGGTCACATCCGGTCCATGCGTTGGACAACGGTCACATCCGGTCCATGCGTTGGACAACGGTCACATCCGGTCCATGCGTTGGACAACGGTTATTTTCAGTTCATGAGTTGGACGTTTACTTCATGCAGTCTATGGGTTGGACGTTTAATTTATATAGTCTATGTTTTGGACACTTAATCATTTTTTGACATGTCACTCATGTGAGTTTATGTCATAACACCTATGTAAATCTCGATATGATATTCATGTAAGTAATAACATGATGTTCATGTTAGCTATAGTATGACACTGTATTTTTGCTCTGAGATTAGCTGTATTTCTTTTATTGTTGTTTTCTGTATTAGTACCTCCGGTTTGGTGTTTAGAGATTTACAATTTGAGATACAAGGTATATACATGAGGGTTTCCTTGTTTGGATTATTTCGCTCGACGTACCTATGCTCGTGTTGTAAATTTCTAAATACTAAAACCCCCTTTAGTAAGATCAATGATTTTTTTTGATCTCTTATATATTAACTGTATTTTTCTTATACAACGAGCCCTGTTCCCTTGGGGTTGGTTGTGATGTTACTCGCTAGCGCTTTGACGCTCGTTGTCCCTCCCCCTTTCAGGTAACGAGCCAGGAGCCCGGAGAGTCGTAGACTGATGGCGATGCATTTTAGCTTCAGCCGTCTCTTTAGTTATATTTTCTTTTGGAGTTCCACAGTAGATTTTTTATTTAGAAAATTGAGAGTCTTGTTCTAGAAGTTGTAAAGGCTGTGTGCCTTATTTCCTTTTCATCAGATATTTGTAATTGAGACTTGTTGAGTATTCCAGTTTATCTACTCAGATCTTGGCTATGTATTTCTGTATGTGGGATGATGAGATATTTATGTGACTGTTATCATTCCATTAGTATATCTTGTATTATCTTTTACCTGTTTTGTACCTACACCAGTTGTTGACTCTACTAGATAGATGTTAATTGTGATGGTGAAACATGTTATTGCACGGTGTGGTGCATGGCAGGTTTGACATTCTTGGTTTCACCTTGGACTGCAGCCTTGTGTGAACCCAGGGGCGTCACACTCCATGTAGTAGCTTTTGGATTTAGTATTTAGCTATTCACAATTTGAGCTAACGGGATATTCGACATACCTATGCTCGTGTTGTAGATTTCTAAATATCAATATTCATTTATTTCAGAGTAGATGATTGCTTATATGTATGTATTAACAAGTATTTTCCTTATATACTGGGAAAATGATCTAGGTAGGCTATGCTTAATAGATAGAGCGTCCACTTCATTTAGTAGCCCTTCCTCAGGAGCGGATGGAGGTAATCTTGCTAGCGCTCTGACGCTCTTGTTGTTGTGCTTTTTATTTATATTAATTTAACTTTCAGGTGGCTCAGAGCATCGGAGGGCTGTAAGATGATAGAGTTATTGCATAGTCGCTGTCACATGAGTTACTAGTAGAGATTCCACAGTAGAGTTATTTCTATTCGGACATTAGAGTTATGTATCACATTTTGTAAAGTCTATGAGCCTTATTTACATTTTCAGCTATTTCATGTCGAGACATATTTATTTATTTCGGATGTCGGATGTATTCCGGATTGTTCTCTGAGACATGATTTATTTATGAGATACTCCTTTCTATATCATGTCTGTTGTAGTTATTTCCTTTCTTTTACCTGTTTTGTACCTACACTTTACTTTGATTCCACTAGAGGATATTACTGTGATTGGTGAAACTAGTTGTTGCATAGTGTGGGTGCATGACAAGTTTGACATCTCTGGGTTCACCTTGGACTGTAGCCATGTGTGAAAATAGGGGCATCACATTATCTCAGGGTTTTATTCATCGGAGTCATTCTCTGTGGGGAGCACTGGTCCTTTTCGTGAAGAAGAAGGACTGTAGTATGTGGTTATGTATCGATTATCATGAGTTAAACAAGGTCACCATCCGGAATAGGTAACCATTACCAAGGATTGATGACTTGTTCGACTAGCTGCTGGGTGCATAGTATTTCTCGAATATTGATCTTTGTTCTGGTTATTATCAGTTGCAGGTTCGGGAGATGGATATAGCTAATACCACCATTTTGACTCGATATTGGTCCTTCGAGTTTTTGATCATGCCATTTGGGCTGACTAATGCACCCACAGTATTCATGGATTTGATGAACTGGATTTTCCATCCATACTTGGATAAGTTCGTGATTATTTTTATTAATGATATCCTTATCTATTTGAGATCAGAGACAGAGCACGAGCAGCATCTATGATTAGCATTGCAAACTTTACGAGAGCATCAGTTATATGCTAAGTTCAGCAAATACGAGTTTTGGCTATCGGATGTTTGATTTTTGGGCCACGTCATTAGCAGAGAGGGCATAGCAGTAGATCCAACAAAGGTTGAGGCAGTACTAGATTAGGAGCTGCCGAAGACCGTTACAAAGATTCGTAGCTTCTTAAGTTTAGCCGGCTATTATAGGAAGTTCATTCAGGACTTCTCAAAGATTGTCACACCACTTATACGCCTTATGAAGAAGGGTATACAGTTTATTTGGGGCATAGAGTGCCAAAAGGCCTTTGAGACCTTGAAGACCAAGTTGACTACAGCACCGGTTTTGTCCATTCTGAGCAGTGAGAGGACATTGGTTGTCTACACAGATGTGTCATTAGCGTGCCTAGGAGGCGTTTTGATACAGACCCAGAGAGTAGTAGCTTATGCCTTTCGACAGTTAAGGACGCATGAGCAGAACTACCCCCACACACGACTTGAAGCTAGTAGCAGCGGTCTTTGCACTGAAGACATGGAGGCATTACCTGTATGGGATGCAGTTCAAGTTATTCATAGACCACTAGAGTCTGAAGTACCTATTTTCTCAGAAGAAACTCAACCAGAGGTAGCGGCGATTAGTCGAGTTCATCAAGGATTATGAGTTCGTGATTCAGTATCATCCAGGGAAGGTGAACGTTGTAGCAGACGCTTTGAACAGGAAGTATCGACGTCGGGTTGTAGCTTTGAGGTGTTCAATGTACTAAGACCTTTACACCCTTAGCCAGTTTGACTTTAGACCGACGATCGGCAGGAGTAGCACATTTTTGGGAGCTATGTCAGTGCAGCCTTCTTGGAGTGATAAAGTGGTCGGAGCTTAGCTAGAAGACTCTTGAATTCTAACCCGAAAGGGGGAGATTTCCAAGGAGCCCAAGGCTAATTGGACCGTTGGAGAAGATGAAGGCCTTCGTATGAAAGACTGATTAGTTATGCCAGCTAGTGCAGAACTAAAGAAGGAGTTGCTTGATGAGGCACATCGTACTAGGTATACAGCGCATCCAGGCACAACAAAAATGTACAATGACCTGAAGAGATACTTTTGGTGGAGCAACATGCGTAGGGAGATAGCATAATATGTTGCAGATGCTTTACCTGTCAACAAGTAAAGGCAGAATATTAGAGACAAGCAGGAACCCTACAACCTTTACCCATTCCGGAATGGAAACAGGCGAATATCTCTATAGATTTCATTGTGGGGTTATCGAGGTCGAAGAAAGGGAATGATTTCGTTTGGGTGATAGTTGATCAGTTGACAAAGTCAGTACATTTTATACCAGTGAAGACTACCTACGCCGCCGAGACTTATTCAAGAACCTTCATTCAGGAGATAGTTTGATTGCACGGAGTTCCAGAGATGATTGTATCGGCTCGAGGCTCAGTTTTCACTTCACATATTTGGAGAAGCTTCCAGGATTCATTCGGCAGCAGATTATCAAACAACAGTGTATTTCACCCGCAGACAGATAGGCAAACACAGAGAGTGAACCAAATTTTGGAGGACATGTTGCGGGCTTGCATTCTAGACTTCTAGGGCAGTTGGGAGGACTACATACCTTTGATCGAGTTTGCTTATAACAACAATTATCAAGCGACGATCGGTATGGCTCCGTATGAGGCTCCTGTAGATCCCCGATTTGTTAGGCAGAGCCGAAGAATAGCCTATTACTTGGGACAAAGCTTATGAGGCAGACTACGGAGAAGGTAACATTGATTAGAAAGCGTATTCTTACCACTCAGAGTCGGCAAAAGAGCTAGCGAATCAGATACGATGACCTTTGGAGTTTCAGGTTGGAGATTTTGTCATGTTGAAGGTATCGCCTATGAAGGTTGTTCAGCGGTTCGGCAGACGGAAAAACTAGCCCCGAGATATGTTAGACCATTCAGGATTATCGAGCGTGTTGGAGCAGTTTTATATAGACTAGATCTTCCAGCATTGATGTCAAGCGTGCACAATGTATTTCATGTGTCGATGCTCAAGAAGCAC